TTGTCGTCCCCGTCACCGTTCAAGAGGAAACCCCCCCCCCTTTCATTAAAGGTTTTTTGTAACCCCCCCCCCCCCCCCCCCCCCTCCCCGCCCCCAAGTTCTTTTGGCACGAGCAGCAGCCGTGGGGTGCTGGCGGCGAAGCGTGCGGCGTGGACGATCCTCTTCATTTCTGGAAGATGAATAGAAGCCCTCCTATCCGCTTCTCATCACCAAAATCTGAACACGGCGATCCGGTTTGGTTGCTTTCATATATTTTAACGTGTTTCTGATTTTTTTTTCCTTCTCACAGGCAAAACTTACACCGAGATGGAAGGGTTGGTGATAAGGCTGGCCAACGCGAGGGAGGCCCGCCTCACCGTCTCCAACGCCCCCCCTGCGATCGAGGTGTGTGCTTCAGTCGCGGGCCCTCCCCTTTTGTTACGGGCGGATGGGCACCCGAATGGTTCGTCCTCCACCCGTAGTGGGCAACCACCCTATTAACAAAGCATGGGACCACTCGATTGGTTCTATCTATGCCAAGAGATTTCCACCCACCCTGTTCATGAACTTGGCACCCACCCAATTGAAAGTGTTGGACCACTCGATTGGTTCTGTCTGTGCCGAGAGATCCCACACGCCCCGTGCATGTACTTGGCACCCACCCTACTGAAAGTATAGGGCCACTCGATTGGTTCTATCTGTGCCGAGAGGTTTTTCGACGCCGTTTCACTTACCAAATAGGAATCAATCCCATACTCATATGCGTATTCTTGGATGTAAGACCCTAACAATACTTTCAGCGGGCCCAGCACTGTTGTGTTTTAGACGGTACCTGCTTGAACCGTTTGAGGATTCCCAAGAAGTGTTCTTCCCTCGTTTGAGCTGGTTCTCCTTCACACAGAGACGTTGGTCGATTCAAGCAGGTGCTACTGCTGTCTTCAACACAACAGTACTCTGGGTTTTTTTAAAGTACTTTGTGTGTCCAAAAGTGTCTTGGCTCAAGGAGATTGAGATGAGATACCGCAACGGCAGCTGTTGGAACGAATGGCACTCACTCATATTACATGCAATTTTCAGCGAGAGAGACACAGAGAGAGAGAGAGAGAGTCAGTCTAGACAATGCAAATAGTCTAGAGTCTGGTACGTGAAACTATGGAATGTGTTTTGGTTTGGGTGATTTTTTTGTTGTGGGAACGCCGTATCGACCGCAGTACGGGCTGACCAATGAAAATACGTCAGTGTCAGTGCGGCTCAACACGTTCGCGTTTGTGTTTTTGAGCAATCACCGACTGCGCTACAGTAGCAGACTACCCAAAGACGTCAGCCTTCTGGCGGGGAAAAAACGCAAACACGCTCTCTAATGATCAAAAGGGTTTTCCTGCTGTGTGTGTGGTGTTTTTCGAGCAGGGACGGCGACAGGTGGGATCGGTCATGTCCGACCTGGCCCTCGCGCTGAGGCAACAGAAGCAGGAGCAGGCTACGAGAGCGTTCCCGCTCTTCAGGTATGCCTACGTATGTCCCATGTAGATACGTCGCTGTTCAGGTTGTAGTTGGAAGACTCGATCTTTGACGGGGTCGTTATTCCTGTAACTGTAGTGTACAGGTCGTGTTGGCCTATGTACAAGGAGTGCTGCAGTACGTGTAGTGTCTATCGCATGTAGTGTCT